CTACGCGTGCTGTTAGCGGTCAAGCAACACCGCGGGCTCCCTAAACCCTTAACCCATAATTCAGCGCACAAACAGAACTGCATGTTGTACACCTTAGCATTGCAAGGCCAAGTTGCATCGCCCGGAACATCAGTACGAAGGCCTCAACGAGCCATGACAGAATCCTAAAGTTACCTATAGGGGATAATGGAAAAGGAAACGGAAAGTACTACATTATCATAGATATATAGTGGGTCATGTAAGGACAATGCACATGGAAATGGAGGCTACTATAATGGGGTTATATAGGGTTCAGGGTTTAGGGTAACACACAAATACCGAGGGTGTTCACAGCTTAGTGACAGGCTTGGTCCCTGTTGTACTGAACCAAAACCACCCAGGAGGAGAACTGATTCACGCGCAGACGTGCAGCACTTGGGGCTACAGGTGACTGTGCTCAGTGCAAGCTGCAACAAAAAGCTGGCCGATAAACAATACACTGGACTTTATGTGTATAGATGCCATTGTCCACATGCAATCCCCTCCCCATAGCCCCAAGTTGCCCCAAGCCCCAAAAAAGCAAATGTTCCCTGACTATATTATACCATATTATGCTATACTATAGAATGTTTTGCTTTATCAGGGTGGAACTTTTTCTTGAGGCGGGTGGGAGGGGGGGGGGGGGCTTAACTGGACTCAAGTTTGAAACTCCAAGCCAAGCACCTCAATCTCAAGGGTTTGGGGTTCAGGGTTGCCTCAAGATGTTCCATTTCGAGTCTAAGGTTTAGAGCATGTCAAGAATTCCCAAGTGGAGTTGTTCATGGGTTCGCCTCCACCCCCACTCTATACTACCTCCATAGGTTCCCCCCTTAATCAAGGTATCAAGGTTATTTTGGGATAATTAGGCTTATTTAAGGTTAATTAAGGGGGAACCTAGAGGGGGTAGTATTGGGGGGATAGTAGGGAAACCCATGAGCTGCCGAGGCATGCAAGAAGGTGCGAGCTTTGGACGAAATGCCCTAGAGGCTTGTAGATTGAGCAACGATATTCTGGGTATAGTCCGTATCTTTCCCAGAGCTCACATGTAATTCCCCTTTGGATGGTATACTAATACTCTTACCGAGACAAAACAGCGAGAAATCCAAACGAGAAACTAGAAAGGAGCCTCTGGGTAATGGGAAGATTTTACAAACCTAGGACAAGAGTTGTATATAGGGTCTCCTTTTAAAGCCATTAGGGGAAATATCAAATGTCAAACCCTAAACCCTGAACCTGAACCCTGAACCCTAAACCCTAAACTCACGGCTTAGGCCGCCCCACCCACTGTGGGTGGGCGGCGCCTAAGCCCCTCGCCCGCGATGGCGAAAGGTCTACACCTAGCCCTGTCTCAGCACAGCCACGGTTGCGGTAGCACCCACGTCAGACCTGGAACCGGAAGGAGTTCTCCTTGCAACCAGTACTGGTTGCTTTAAAAGGTAATTAAACCCCCCATGAATTTGGGGGTGGCTGGCTGGTTTATCCAAGGGCCCTTCCTGGGTCCAGGCCCTCCTCTGCGAGCGAATTTCGGGAACGGGGGGGCCTGAGAGAGCCTACTTCAAAGACTGTCCCAGATTGATGTTTTGCTTTCAGAAATCTTCAAGGACTCTCGCACAGGGTGAAAGCCTTTGACCATTTTTGTCAGGGGGGCCTGCAAGAAGGTTTGAGGTTTCTGAACAACGAAAACACCAAATGAAATGTATTTGTGTTGTTGGCCAAGATGGACCTAGTTGAGTTTAGGTCCTAAATCCTAAAAGGATAGGTTTGGGTGGTTTGGCCGCCTCACACGGCGCGGGGCGGGTGATTGGTTAAATGGCCCTCTACAGTCCTGCCATGGCAGCACCTCGCATGCAGCCATGCACTTGAAGAGTCCTTCACACCTAATCATCACTGCTTGCAGCACGGTAGCTCACAGCAAACCCTGAACCCTAAACCCTTAATATCCCTAAACCCTAAACCCTAAACCCATAGTATGGGGCAGCAAAATCCAGCCTGCACCCTGCTCGCTTTAAGTTGCCGTAGACCAGGCCCTCTAAACCCTACCTGTATTATTTTGCATACTTGTGGGGTTTCGGTAAACCCTAAGCTTCGTTAAGGCCCTTAACCCCAAACCCCAAAATTCCCTAAGCCCTAAACACTTAATGCTAAGCTTCCCCAAGGCCCTTAACCCTAAACCTCCCTAAGCCCTAAACACTTATTAATGCTGAACTTCCCTAAGGCCCTTAACCGTAAACCCTAAACTTCCCTAAGCCCTAAACCCTCAACCCTCAACCACTGCCAGGCAGCTGTTCCAAGAAGACCCATACTTACCAGGGACTAAGGGAGTATAATCGGTGTATATATATATATAACCACCATATACGGCATTTCCTCTTTTCCCTTACGAATCCCAAGTAAGTATAGGCCTAGGGTTGACAGACCCCACATTCTACAAGGAGACGGATGGACTCATGCCCACTTCCTCCATGCAGATATTTTTCTTTTCCTTAAAAAAAAAAAAGAGACCTGACCCATGTGCTGGGCATGTGTCAGAAATGCGGTATGTACCAAGAAACTATAATGCTGACACTTTTGTGCCGTAGTTTCCATGAACTACTGTCGGGGTCTTCTTGGGGGTCGCCATGATATGGAGTATGGTATAATAAGGTCTACATTGAGGACCCTGTTTATGACAAGCTAATGGACACTGCAAGTTGATACATACTGTCAGCGCCGTCCTCGCGGATTCGTCACAGCCGCTGGACGCGGGGTGAGCTTGCGAAGGGCGCGGAAGCCTCGGCGTGCGCACTAAAGATTACTTGGAAGGTGGGGGGACGTAGTCAGGAATGAAAGGGTATTTAGGGTCAGAGGGACGCAGTAAGTAGCTGGGTTCACTAACATGGGATGAATCGGGTCATCATGTGGAAACTGAAAGGATACTTACTAAGACCCCCTAACCTCCAAGCCGACCACCTACGGGTCGTCTTGGCGATTCAAGCAAGGAAGATCAATCTTTTTTTAAGGTACTAAACCCGAAGGACCAAAAGAAGTATATTGTGACGAGAGTATCCCCAACGAAATGCAACTCAACACGCCTGCCTCGTAAAATCCCAGGACCAGCCTGACACGTTCTCCCCTTTACCATGTTCCGAGCTCCGCACATGGGAGAAAGAAGGCCATGTAGAGATTTGTAGGATTTATACTCTAAACCCTAAACCCTAAACCCTTAGCCAGGAAGAAAGTAGGGTCTGGAGTGCAGGCTGTAACATCATAGTCATAATCCCTATAGTTTCCATGTTCTTTTCCATTATCCCTATAAAAAAACCCATCATATACCCTATAACTATCCCAGTACACTATATAGTAGTTTCCATTTATTATTTTCCATTATCCCTATATGAGCCATAGTCTAAACTCCTAGTATCCCCCTTAATAACCCCTATAATATTTTTGGGTTGCAAGCGTCGCCATAGATCCACGGATCGGCATGGGATGCTATAACCCCTATAATAGTCCCCTATAGAATCCCCTATATAACCCACCTTTCAGGAGTTTAGACTATAGCTCATATGTCCTGACCACTTGCAGACCATGGCGCGCTCCACACCGGGCCAGCCGGTCTGCACCTCGGAGCATCGAGGAGAAAAACCGGAGCGACGACAATCCCAGGGCAGCAGAAACATACAAAATAATAGGGTTTTAGGGCCCAAATACCATTAATATTAAAATATTTGAACCCTAAAACTCCACTATTTGGGTCCTTGGAATTCTAGGGGTACTGTTGATGGATGAAATAATGGGTATAGGGTTTAGGACCCCTAATATAGACTGTTACTGGGTGGGGGCAGTACCCAACCTAAACCCTAAACCCTTGTGTTGGGCTCCTTAGTGATCTTCTTGATGGCAGATGGGGCCCATTTGCGGACCTCCCAGCTTCAGACCTAGCAGCCTTGTGCAAAGCCAACAAACGATGATTACAGCCTACCTCCTTTGGGCAGGCCATGCTTTCCAGGCTCTTCTGATTGTGACAAATCTGCCTGGATACGTAGGCTCCCTGCGCTCCTTCTAAAAGGATCCTTCTTCTATATCCTGCAAGGTGCTGCTCCCTAACGGTACACATACCCAAACAGTGGGGCGATAGGTCAACAATATCATGATCTAAATATTTTTGGCACCTGGAACTCCAAAATATTTGGACACTTGCCCTCTTAGCGTCTTAGCTGAGGGTCTATGTTAAGCTCGAGTCAGTCCTTAAGTGAACTTCCCTGTGAAGGGGCCTTCGCGAGGTGCAGTCCGTTTGCAAGGCCCCCCCCGTGGAATAACTTGGCGGACGAAGCGCAAACCCTAAAATCCCAAACAGGTAAGCCTGAAGTTTGTACACCCTCTCCAATATACTATGTAGTACTTTAGGGTTCAGGGATCTAAGCTTGAGGATTTAGAGGTTTAGGGGTGAAGCTGCTATATAACTTTACTTCGCCTTTCGCCCTCCGCTCTGCAGATTAAGTCGCTCTGCCCTCCTTGTCGTAGGCTGTGGGGCGCCACCGGTAGATCCAGTACCCTGGCCGGCAGATGAGTAGTGGTTTTTGGTGGTTGAACCTAGTAAGATAATATTCCTTATATAAAATACTATGCCCCAAAAGGAGGATATAACTTACTCTAGATGGGGTACCATAGTATCCCCAAATAAAATACTACTCAGATGGCTTCAAACGTGTAAATCGAGATGCTATTTGCACCACTTGAGCGGCAATGGGCTTCTTTTTTCCCCGTCACAGGTCTCATGGCGCTGATAGGACCAATCATGCACCACCAGTTGCCATCACAAGTGGGTTAGCTCTCAGTCTTAAAAGTCCTGAGGCAGCCCACCAGCTAGTCCAAGTTGAGCCCTGATGACTCTGTCAAGGCACATCCCTCAACAAATTGAAGGATCAGTGCGAAATTGCTGCACCGTCCCAGAATTCCAGAAGCCTAGCTCCGGAATCAGGACTTTGGCAGACACACTTGGCTTAGACAACCATCTGCGCGACGCCCTCTGCTTTGCAGTTGTCACCACCCTCGTGGCAGTGCACCTGAGTAGCGTTTTTTTGGTGGTTAAACCCAGTAAGATTATCTTCCTTATATAACATACTATACCCCCAAAGGAGGATAGCATCTTACTCTATAATGGGTACCATAGTATCCCCAAGTAAAAATTCTAGAGCTACAATATAACATAACCCCTATATCATCCCAGCTTTCCATTTCATTTTCCATTTTCTTTTCCATTTGATTCTCCATTATTGGGTACCATAGTATCCCCAAATTTTGTCACCACCCACCCTAAACCCTAAACCTTAAACCCTAAAACCCTAAAACCCCTAAACCCTAAACCCCTAAACCCCTAAACCCAGTGCACCTGGTTCTTCTTCTCCGCGGCGGTGAAGCTGCCAGGCACAGCCCAGGAGCACTGGTCCTCCAAGAGGAGCGCGCCCTTGGCCACCCTGAAGTAACCCATCCTGAGTTGCTGTTAAGGAACTTAATGTAGGGTTCAGGGTTTAGGTTTTAGGTAGGGTTTAGGGTTTAGGGTTTAGGTAGGGTTTAGGGTTTAGGGAAGCTGTTAAGGGACTTAATTTAAGCTACTATATCTTGGGGATAAGGAACTTAACTTAAGCTACTATATAATTGGGGATAAGGAACTTAATTCAAGCTACCATATATTGGGGAAACCCATTTTAACGGATTATATATATATATGTATATCCCTTTATACTAACTTACATACATATATATATATCATTAATCATTATTATGGCAACTTAAATTATGTTCCTTAACAGCAACCCAGCATCTCCCCCCAGTACTCTCCCCACGAGTTCCTCACGATCCAAAACATGCCATCCTTAGGGTCAGTGCCCCATCCAACCACAGACACGACGTGGTCAACGCCCTCGCCCTTCGTCTTGATGATGCCGGACTCGTAGTTGAGCAATGGGTTGGCGTCAACGCCGCAGGAAATGGGACCACGATGGAAGATCTCCTTCAACCATAATATACCTTAATATACTATAATATACAAGAGCATACCATAGTTTAACATAATATACTATAGTATACCCTGATAAGCCATAATATACTATGGGACCCTAAACCCTGAACCCTCCTTCATCATGGCATCCGCACCGCTGATGGAGCCATAGTCTGAGATGGTGGCGTTGGGGAACTCGCCAAGACCAGTGCACGGCCCACCCTCCTGCCAAAGGTAAAGCTTTTGCCACAGCACGAAATAACCTAGAGTACCTAAAAATGTCCGCAAAGATTTGGACTTACTCTTTGGCTTCTTGGGTTGGAGGTTGAAAGTCTTCCCTCCTATCTACCTAGCTCCTGGGAGAAGCTTCCGCAGGTGCGCGCGACGTTGAGGGCCTTGCAGGACGTGTCAACGTGCTTGCAGAAGCCCTCGTCCGAGTCCGAGCTGCAGGCCACGTAGGGGTTTGCCGTCTCATAGCTGATTCCCGTGCCCTTCTTGGAGATCTCCATCAGCCACTGGTAAGGGCCGTCAACGCTGCCCCCCTTGCAAGTGCCCACACCACCGCAATTGAGGAGGTGCTGGACGGCAAGGTTGATGTCAACGCCCTGAGCATTGCGCGCAATCTTAATCCGGTCGCCAAGAGCTGAGATTGCCCCATGAGCCCAGCAGGACCCACAGTACTGAGGAATGTGCTGGTTGCGCGACATGGTGCAGTAGCTCTTTCCATCCTTGTTGCACCAGCTGAAGTCTGAGGGGTACTCCGTTGCCTCAAGGAGGTCATGAGTACTTTGTTGGTTCGTGGCATTGCCACGCCACACGATGCCAAGCTTCTCAACCTCAGCACGTGGCAACAGCTCGGAGCGGCGGTTGCCCTGAGCTGCGGCGAAACCGAACCCGAAAGTTGCGACGGCCTTGAAGAACTTCATCCTGATTGCCTGGAAGAGCAGTGAATGATGCAAAGTTTGAGCCAAAAGTGCTGTGAAATGAAGGATGCGCTGACTGCCAAGAAGGCATTGGTACCCCTCAGAGCCCTTGCCATCAGCCTGTGGTAGAAACACAGCGCTTTACCACTCTAACCCCTGCCTTTCGCGTCCACCACCACCGCGAAAACGTAAGGCTCATCCCATAAGTTCTCGAAGCGCTGCGTGCCTTGCCTTTCACTTGGAGGGTCAGGGACTTAGTAAGTAGGTTAATAACGGGGATATTTAAGGTTACTATATGGGTTATTGACCTACTTACTAAGTCCCCCTGACCCTCCAAGCAGGGAAGAATGTCAGAGTTTGATTTGGGCAGGTTCAAACCTTGAAGAGCGTCAATGTCACCCTCAGCATGCTGCTGTGACCCTACTGGCTGCTGCAAAGAACATCCCGAGCTGCAGGAAAAAGGATGATTCCAAGGCCGCTTTACCACCATGGGCTATTAAACCCTAAAATTCCCTATTAGGACCCTATTAAGGGTAGATTAAGGTACCCTTAAGGTCTAGTGTTGGGGCCCAAAAGCGAAAGCTGTCATTGAGGTGCTTTCGTGGGTTGAGGTATGCCCTAAACCCTAAACCCTAAACCTGAAGCCCTGAGGGTTCAGAGCCCAAGCTTTGATTTCTCCAACAACCTATGATGCTGACCCAGACCCCCAAAGAGATCCAAAAAACAGAACCCCTAGAAGACCGTGGGGAATTATTTGGGGATTATATAGGGGATATTATGGCTTTATATAGGGGATTCGATTTTTTAGATCCTCCCAGGGGTCTGGGGAGCCATCGGAAATGGGCCGTAGGGTACCCTGATAACCGCAAAGATATCGATCTTTCCATGGCGAGTACAAAAATATATGGGCAGTCTATAATGGGGATCCTATTAAGGGCTCTCTATATAGGTATATGGGTGGTTGTCAAAATTATGGTCCTTTTTTGGATCCCTATTATTATCATACCGTTTTAATATTTAGGGTACCCGAAAAGGGACCATAATTTGGACAACCACCCGTATGCGGCTTGGGACTAGAGGCGGGTCACAAAGCAAATTCAGGATATGAGCTATAGTCTAAACTCCTAGTATCCCCCTTAATAACCCCTATAGTAGTCCCATAAATAATCCCCTATATAATCCCCCTTTAAGGAGTTTAGACTATAGCTCATATCAAGGCAATGTATTCATCCTTTGCGTTGCGCGGCGTAGAAACATAGTTTGAACTAGTTAGTGGGCAGATTCCGACAAACTTGCACTGAACCCCAAATACCCTAAACCCTAAACCTCATGGTTTTCAGCCTACAGTCTGAAGCGCACGTTGGTAGCTGCCCTGCCAGAATTTGTGGAAACCTTGAGATCAAATGGCCCATGTACCGACAAAGTGTATTTAGGGTTTAGGGTTTAGGGTTGTATATACTTGTTATTGCGACCCCGTCTGCAAAAGCGGGTCCAAAATTACAAATTGATAGCTGGACCCTTTGGGAACTGCGATCACGACAGTCTCGACGGTACCTCGTAAGATAGCACTGATGGCCCTACTAGCTAATCAGCCCTCCTCAAACCTACAAGCTCAACACCAAGTCCTCACAACGCATGGACTGAAGATCCATTAAACTTAGCCCACATTACCCCAGGAAGAAAAAGGGGATCCTTTTTACATAAGTATAAGGATAAGGAATCCCATAGCCCAAGAATATAAAGGATCCCTAACATTGACCCAGTAAACCCTGCAGAGACGCCTCCAAACTCTGAACCCAGTACAGAAACCTTCGGTCCAGCAGCCTAAACTCCCGTTTCCTTGAACGCTACACCTTGGGTGCTGCCCCAACCCGTTTACAGTCTATAATGGGGACCCTATGAAGGACTCTTTATAGGTATATGGGTGGTTGTCAAAAATATGGTCCCTTTTTGGAACCCTATTATCACACGGCACCTAATATTTAGGATACGCAAAAATTCACCAACCCTAAACCCTAAGCCTAAACCCTAGATCCTAAAACCACCCATATCAATAGTATCCAACTGTGAATGAGTGCTTGGAGGGTCAGGGGGACTTAGTAATTAGGTTAATAACCCCTATAACCCCCATATAGTAACCCTACTTATCCCCATTATTAACCCACTTACTAATTCCCCCTGACCCTCCAAGTGGGGGCAGTATCCAACCTAGACCCTAAAACCTTGCTTTCTGGCTCTATACCATTCCAGCATTGGCAGCACGTTGCAGCCGTTGAAAAATGGCACTGAAACCCTGAAAGCCGAAGCGGGTTTTAGGGTTTAGGGTTGCAGGGTTTAGGGTTCAGGTTTTTAGGGTTTAGGGTGTAGGGCATTGAAAGCCCTGAAAGCCGAACCCTGGCTTACAACTGCCCGCCTCCCTCCGCCCCAATGGATTACCTCCTGAAAGGCAGGATCTGGACCAATAACCAGGAGGATAATACAGCAAAGAAGTATATGGGTGCCTTTAGAGCACTAATACAGTAGTTCCCAAAACTTCTAGACTCGATATTACGAGCTACAACTTTGAGGCGCCCAACCGCGGAAGGAGTTCTGCCAATGGTCTCTGGGACATCTGTTGATTTCCCTATCATCCAGGACCCTCCTTGACCCTTAATTGGGGATATATGGTCCCTAATAGTAGGTACTTAGGCCCTAATAGAGGGTAGGAGGAGGGTCTAGGATAATCCTGGTCACACTCAACAGTTGCAACTGCTTCCTTCCCCCATCGAAATTGCATCCTGCTCATGCGATTGAGTGCGAGGGGCTACACAGGCTTGTACTTCCAATGTACTGTCAACAGGAAAAGCTACAGTAGAAACGTCATGTTGAAGTCTACTTGAGGTACCCTACACCGTAAACATAACCCTATATATACCGCAAACCCTAAGAAGCCCTGAAATACAAGAAAGCTAGAGCCATCATATGAAACCCTTTTTTTTTGCATCCAGGCCTCTGATCCGCTAGCCGGGTAGGTTGCCAGCAACAGCAGTAGGTTTTCTACCGCAACAACCGACAAACTGATTGATACATGGAATCACTCAGGAGTTCAATCAAGAATACAATTTCGAAGTCATGGAACAAACTCAGGGAAACCTGACGAAACTGATACAAAAAAGCCTCGTACACTTCTTGTCTCATGGTGAG